CAGCGCCAAGCAGCAGCCGCAGCCAGAGCCCCCTCCGGTCTCCTCCTCCCGTGAGGAGACGTGCCACTTCCTCAATGCGATCTTCCTCTTCCTCTTCAGGGAGCTCAGGGACACAGCCCTGGTCAGGAACTGGGTCATCAAAAAGATCAAGGTGGAGTTTGAGGAGCTGCTCCAGGCCAAGATGACGGGGAAGATGCTGGAGGGGCTCAGCCTCAGGGAGGTCTCCCTCGGCGATGTCCTGCCTATCTTCAAAGCTGTCAAGCTCATTCGGCCGGTTATCTGCAACGAAGAGGGCTGCCCTGAGGAGTTGGGCTTTGAGGTAGACCTGGAGTACAATGGTGGCTTCCACTTGGCCATCGATGCTGACCTGGTCTTTGGCAAGTCGGCCTACCTCTTTGTCAAGATCTCCCGGGTGATGGGGAAGCTGAAGCTGGTCTTCACACGCCTGCCCTTCACGCACTGGTCCTTCTCTTTCATGGATGACCCTGTGATACACTTTGAAGTCAAGTCGCAGTTTGAAGGGAGGCCCATGCCTCAGCTCACGTCCATCATTGTGAACCAGTTCAAAAAAGTTATTAAGCGCAAGCACACCTTACCCAACTACAAAATCAGGTAAGATGTCCTGCGTCCTCGATATTACTTTGGGTGGTGTGCATTGGAATTAGTGTTTTGCTCTTAATAGATAAAGAGATTTCTGTTTGCATTTCTACAGTAGGGCTATATGTACATTGCTTGTTTTGGAGCAAAAGCTTTCCATGAAGGTAAGCATTGTTTTCTATTTATAATAAGTGAGGAAGCCACTGCACAGTGAGATTGTGGCACACCCTGAACTATGTATAACTAAATGGCTGAATTAGTAGGCATCAAAAATTTTGGGACCCTTCCAGGTGTCCAATGACACAACCATGATATCCCTCTTTGGTAAAGGTAGAAGGATGGCTTTGTGGCCAGCGTATGTGTTTGATGGTATCTTCCAAAGCTTCTACCACCTGGGCAACACTTGTGGCTTATGCTTACCTATAGAGGCAAGGTGGTTGTCACTTAATGGGAGAGAAGATAAAGTTCACTCTCTTGGGATACTTTTGAAACACCGTGGTAGATGATGTCATCTTCCTTTTTGGTTTGCTGTATTTCTTCAATAGCTTTAGGGAAATCTAAAAGTTGATAAGAGAAGTATTGCCAGTATTGGGGTAAGTAAAACTTTGGGGGACCTCTTGGGGTTTTTTGGCCTCTTTTGTATGATAGTTTTTTCTTTTATTAATGCACACACTGCACCACAGACTGCATTGTATAGTGAACGTAATGAAACAGTCAGTGGTATTTCTGTAGCAGAAGTGGCTAGTGGCATCTTTACTTTGAATCCGCACTCATTTTTGACTAGAAGATACTGAATGCCTTACCGCTGTTCAGGTACTATGTTCCCTTTCTGTGACGTGTCTTACCACTGTTAGGATGCCATGTTTCCTTTCTCTTTTGTTTATTCTTTGTAGTTTGTATCATGTGTTAAGTAAGGATTTTTGTTTTGTTTACCACGTTCTTCTGCAATAAGTCTTTCCTCTGAAATTCATCAGAGATGAGTAACTGAAAATGGCTATTTGAATTTTGAGGTGTAATTAGCTTTGCAGTGATGCAATTTTTAAAGTTTTTTTTTTTTAGCTGTTTTTTCTGCAATCAAGCTTATAAGAGTTCTCATGAAAGTGGATGTGTAAAATAGCCAAGATTTGGAAAACCTTGACAAGGCAATAAGTAGTTTTTCAGTGTAACTTGGTGGTCCTTTCAAATGTTAATGTACTGAATTGCTCGTGGTACAGTCAATCCCTGGGCTTCAGGGAAGCTTTCAAGAGCAAGTTTGCTCCCATTCTCTTACTGTGCTGGAAAGAGACTGAAGCTGTTGATTGTGAAGAAGAGCCCTAAGGAAAGGCTGGGATAGCACAGTCGTGGTACAGTCAGTGCTCTCAGCCTACCTAGAAGGAGTAAGAAAAGCAAATGATCTTTGCAGTCTCTAGGAAAGTTTTTAGAGTGCCTGTGGAACCACTGATGGTGTGCTCCTCCCCTTCAGCAGAGAAAGACATATTTATTTTTGCACCTGGGCAGCAGGGTGCTCTCGTCATTTAGTGAGAGGTAATGCATTTTTCACATATTTCTCAAAACTTTCTGTGCCAGAAAGAATGGTTGAGGCATGTGTGAGCCACTAAAGGAACTGGAGAGGGAAATAAGGAAAGAAGCAGAGCGCAGCATTTGATAGAGAAGTGAGTAGAAGTATGAGAATAGAAGGTAACTGACAACAACATAGAAATCATAAGTTATTATGGAACAAAAAAGAATGACCTGTTATTTGAAAATGTTCTCCTTAAGTTATAAGGAGTTTGGAATTTGTGAATGCTTGAGAGGGAAATACAGTATCATAGCTGGTTTTCACACTAGATCATAGGCTGGTAGCACAGGGTGGCAGATGTTCAGTGAAACTGTGTCCAACCCTGCCTGTGGTGTTTTTGACCTTTAAAGGTCCTGAACATATCATTTTGACTCACTGTGGTGTGAAGGGGGAAGGCAGGACACCAAGCTTAATGTGCATTAATGAAATTGTCTTAAGCAAGGAAGATTGGGTATTTGGTGTCCTAAACTGTGTAGGAGTTTGCCTTTAAAGATTCAGGTGGGAACACAGATCCCTGCATGGGAACCTTGAGCTGCCCACAGTTGCTCAAGGTGTGTTGAGACACAGACTGAAAACACATGTTCACCACCAGTGTGTCTCTTGAGTTAATGCAGATAGATCCCTCAACAGCAAAACCTGGTAACAGCTGAGTAGTGACACCACTTTGATGTGGTGGCATAGTTGAGAATTGAGACATTATGGTTTAGATGTGTAGAGAACTGATTTGGAAAACCAAGCCCCCAGCTGATGAGATGCAAAACTTGGTATTTTTAATAGAATTTGTAAGAATATATTGGCTTGGGATTATGGTATATCAATATATTCCTTAGAAAAGAATGTATAGGGAGAAGTCAGGAGAGTTTCACAACTGCTTAATAACCTGTTACCTCACTTAAAACTTAACAATTTCTCATCTACAGAGAATGTGCTTATCCTCTCCCTGTATTTTCCTATGGCTGTATGCCTTTTGTTTAAGTACATAGTCAGTACTTGCTTCTGTGTAATTCAAAACCTTTCTGATGTCTCTCTACTTTTGCTGAATTAACTTTGTAAATAAATCTTTGAACGGTGGTAATTAAACCTTGTAAACAAAAGCACTTGGAGTGTGAGGAGCTCCCTTTTCAGCTGGTTTAAAGGGGCACTTTGTTACCCTGCTGGCTTGCAGATTGAAGTCTGCAAAGGAGTTTTATCTTATTTCAAGATGCTAAGTAGCATTAAAAATTAAAATATGCAGTTTTCTTTGCCTTTTGTATTAGGGAAATTCTAAAGGTTATTACTTGGTAGTGAATGGCATAAGAAGATAAATTTTACTGATGGTTGATTTTGAAGATCCCATAACTGAAGCAGATCCCCCCATCCTGTTTTTTTAATTGTAAAATACCATTTGAAAAAAGATGTCTTCACGTGTACTGTCTGTTGCTACAGCCAAATTACTGCACACGTACTTTTGTATCCTTTCCAGTCATGTACAAAATTTTATGCAGCAAAGCAATGATTAGTCAGATCATCATCTTTTGCATCATCCTTTGATGGATGTGACTTTGTGCGATGTGCATATCTATAGCTTGAAAGTGGAAGAAGGCATCTTGCGTTCTTGATGCACTCTTAAGCGTCTATACGGCAGGCAGTGTAGACTAGTAAGTACATTAAGTTTCTCTAGCATTTTATGTGGAATTTTTCTCTGTAAAAGCATTTATCTACTAATTTAAAAAGGAGGGATGCACTTTGTCTAAACAAATAAATAGTAATTCATGTTTTATTGTAATAGTGTGTAATCACATTTCTTTGGCCAAGAAATGTGTTTGTGTCTGGCAAAACACCGTATTTTGAAGCTGCTCTGCTGTTGAATGGCAACTGCATCTTGTAGAGATACTGGAGAATTTGGTTAACTCTCTGAAAGCAGGGCTGCTGGTAAAATCCAGTGTATGGTAGGGCTTTTTCTGTAGTCACTGTTGATAAAGGATTTGTGCAGTTCAGTTGGTGGTAGCAAGAGTTACTACTGTGTAATAGCTAACTTTAATCCTAATGTATTTGTTGTTGCTTTGTAATGGAAATGCAAACAGCTTTGTGAAGTTTCTTGTTCAGATGTGGAGAAGATCTAAAATGACCATTCTTTTTTTTTCCCTCAATGTACATGAGTTTTGGTGCATTCTTGTGTAACTAGATAACTGAATTGAGATTATTTTATATATAACTAGCCCTAACTTCAGTAAGGTAGTCAAGAGTTGTGGGCATCATTTATTTGACTCTAAGTACTCCATAACTCTATTTTGACTTGAATGAACTGTTTTAATTATACCTTTTTAAATTATTTCTAAGACAAATTGGCCAGTGGATGGAGCTTGGGACTAAGCATGGAAAGCCTTGACTTCCCTGTTGAGTGTTTCTGGTGTCAGTTACTGATATTCTGCAGGGCGGCCTTGTGTCTTGCTGTCCCAAAATTTCTAATGGAGCCATATTCAGTCAGTTTTGCCTGCCACTGTAGCTCTACTTGGCACTCAATTTGTCATGTAGGTTTCTTTTGCTAGAGCAGGGTGGTAGATACCAATTATCAGCACAAAGTGGAGTTAGTCTAGTGCCTTGAACCCAACCTTTGGTTTTTTATTGTATACACTCAACCAGTTCTTTAAAAGCAGTACCCTAGACATTGTTCATGTTGGTTTTCACTTCCTACATCATGCTCTTTTAGTAGTAGGGTAAAGAGGCTAACACTAAGCTGTAGTCACAAGCATTGCCATAGTGTGTTTAATATTTAGAGATATATAGTAAGGACTATTTCAGGTGTCTGTCTCCTTGCTTGTGCTGTTGCAGGTGTCACCAGTTCTTCTCTGTTGGTTCATTAATGAGCTGTACATAGCTCATTAACTTACTATAAAGCTGCTTATTGATGGCAACCTTGATATCACCCCTCCCAATCGTGTCAGGTATATAGGTACACTAATTAGGCTGTATTTTCTAGCCTATTATTAACAGTCAGTTGTAGTCCTGTTGCTTTGAACAGGTCCTGATCTCGCTTTGCGTAGTTTTTGGAGAACTTTGGGTTTTGGGTTCTTTCTAGGCAATCAAAATGCAGTTCGCCACAATGAAGTTACAAAATCCTTTTTGTGTATGTAAAGGGTAAGGAGGAAGTACTTCCTGCCAGAGTTTAATTTCCTGATATTTCTTTATCAGTCATGTGAAAACTGACAGCTGCATGTTTGTTTGTGGGTTTTTTTTTCTAAATTTAAGGTCTTGCAAGTTCATCCATTTAGTTTCTAAGCAGATTAGGTAGTACCTAAGCAGTGAGTTATTTCTGTGTATTTTAAGAGCACTTGGTTTCTCAGTTTGTTACACTAAAAAAGCTAATATTTTGTATTGATACTAGCCTGTTGGAGAAACTATACTTTGCTTTATTTTAATGCATGCTGCCACAGAGCAGAATAACTTTCTTTTGTTTAGAAGTGATCTCACAAAGGAT